TGCTTACTTATACTACAATTCCCTTGACCATAGACTGGTCTAACCAAACTATTCTTCAGTCAAACTTTCTACATTCCCTTTGTTACTATCACCTTATATTATATATAGATATTCTCTACTTTACATTCAAAATCACAAATCTTTATATGGTTAATTAACAACTCTGTCTCTCCCCTGTCTTTGTATTATTTCAAACGATTTCTCAAATGGATAATTACGGAGCTGATAATAACAGTCACGAGATCAATAGACTTGTAAGTCATGAATTAACTCAAGGAAGGGATCTAGTTCAACAGCTTCAACTTCATCTTAATGCTCCTAATTCGTCGTCTTCGTCAGAAAACACTAGGGAATTTTTGCTTCATAATATCCAGTTCAAATTTGATAGGGCTCTGTCCTTGCTACAATGTAACACTATTAACGGAGACAACTCTAATTCATCACTACCACGTTCTAATTCCCCTGCTATTCCGATTATTGGAATGTCTGATTCTCCGCGATCAAGTGAAGATTCTGATCGTGATCTTGAGCCTAAAGAGCATCATGCAACACGCAAGAGGTTTATAATTATCTTTTGCTCTTCTTATAATTAACTTTTTTTTTAACGTACGATCACTAAACTTATAATGTTACAGAAAAAGCAGTACACCGCGTTGGACTAAGCAAGTTCAAATTCAACCAGGGGCGCCAATTGAAGGGACTCTTGATGATGGTTATAGTTGGAGAAAATATGGACAGAAAGATATTCTTGGTGCTAAACATCCGAGGTAACATACATATTAAGATTAAAACGTTTGAATCCTGTATGTATTTATGTAGCAATGAGTACTTATATTTTTTGTCTGTTAAATGCAGAGGTTATTACAGATGTACGCTTCGACATGTCCAAGGTTGTTTGGCTACGAAACAAGTTCAAAGATCCGATGAAGATCCCAACATTTTCGAAGTCACGTATCGAGGAAGGCACACTTGTAATCAAGGTGGTGGTGCTAGTGTCAGTAACGTGAATCCAGCACCACCACCTTTACCTTTGCCTTTAGTGATACATCAAATTCAAGAACCAAACATAGGAAATCACGAACAATATCAACAACTTAATCAAAACCCAAATGAAATTCTCCTGAATTTTCAAAAAAGCCTTAGTATCTCCAAAGACGACTTCAACTTCAAAAATACTCATCATGATCAACCTAACAATGTGCCATATATACCCTCGTTTAATAATTATCCTTCATCGTCGTCCAACGATCATCAAGATTACAACTTTTTGAATAATTCTTCCACAATTCCAAACAACATCTTTGTGGAGAGTTTTCCCCCTTCCTTTAATAACATGTCTACAGGAACTTCTCAGCAAAATGAGGCAGATTACCAATTTAACTCAATGGGATTTGAATCAAACTTCCCATATGATTATCACAGATTCTCTTAATTACTAATTAATCTTCTAAGAAAGTAACTTAATTAACTCAAGGTCATGATGAATCAAGGACAATTTTGCAACCAATTTGTTACTAGCTAAGCAAGGGATTACCACTTAATTATTAGATGTTTCAGTTTAACCATTTGCTAATAATTATGATGATAATATTTATTTTTGTTTTCATGTGGTCATCTTGAATTGTTGTAGTCTCTCAATTAATCTTGTATCAAAACCTTTCAAGTTTTGTAACAATCTTTTAATCATTTGCAAAGGGTTAAAAGAAATGTCCTTCGTCGATCGAAAAATAGGATAATTTCATCTTAAATATGTGTTTATCGTTATTGGAATCGTTCATATTTGTCCTTCAACTTCATAAACTACAACTAATTTGCCCTCCATTTAGATTTGGTCTCAAATATGCCCTTATAGTCGGAGAACTTCCTCAAATTTGCCTATTAAAACTAACAAAAAAACCACTTTTTTTTTATCAATCCTTTTACTTTAAGGTCGAGTTTGTTTGACTTCTATAAAACGGACGCCTAAACTATGAAAAGTCTTAATTACCCCTCAAACATAGATTTTTGAAATTATTTACTTCCTCTAAGTCATGAAAAGTCTTAATTATCCCTTTAAACATGTATTTTTGAAACTATTTACCCTCTAATATGCCACATGGCACAAAAATATTGCTTCGTCAATTATATATAACTCACTTTTTAGTCAATTTCAAAAGAAATAACATATTTCTATATTTAGTATAAATTTAATCGCTATTTCTATTATATGATGTAATTTGATTTGATATGACGTTTAAGAAAGATATGTTTCAAATTAGATAATAATTAATAAATATTGTGTGACTATAATCAATTTATCTGGGATAAATTAAAAAATTCTAAGTTAAACTTTTACTTAATATAAAAATATCTCATTTCTTTTAAGATTGACTTAAAAAAAAGTATATCGTATAAATTGTAATGGATTTCTTTGGGTGCTATTTGGCATATTATTGAGTGTTTGAGGGGTAATTAGAACTTATTAATTTTCATAATTGAAGTGTGCATTCAATAAAGTGTGTCAAATTTATCTGGGTTTTGAATTATTAACTCTAAATATTTTAGAACTTTGAATTACATAATTTAAATCTTTGTAATAATAAATAATTTTTTGAAATAATATCCAAGAGAATATATGATAAATAAATAAGTAACCTTATAGACTAGAATTAAATTTTAAGTTCTATAAATAATAATATTATTACGTGAAATTGATCAACTATTTTATGTCGTTTAAATATTATACTAAAAATAAGAGTGCCATCAATCACTAAAAGGTTTTACTCAGCACATTTTCATGTCTTTCTTTTATTTTTACAAAGTCTTGTTATGATAAAAACTAAAGGAGAGTTATGATTACAAATACTTATTATTATGTGCTTCAATTAATATTAACAAAATATTTTTATTTTTTCTTTTTTGGACAAATGTTAAGTGTAAATTTTTATTGGCAAAGAGTTAAAAGAGAGTAGTACACACATTAGGTAAATGGAGCATAGAGGGAGAGCCAAAATGTCTTTGTTTTCTTGGAAGTTTCGCCGAAGTTCCCAACCGAAAATGTTGTATCTTGTAGTAGTGTATGAAAAACTTTTAAAATTTAATTCTAAAATCCATGCTTCAAAAAAAAGTAAAAAAACTAAAGAGATAGTTCTTCTTTCATTTATACAAACACAAACTAAGAATATAGTTATATGAAATTGTTAGTTACTCTCTAATTTTGTTGATCTTCATGAATTTATTCAATTTAATTTAAAATATTAGTTAAATAAACTCTCAAAAATAAATAGGACCGCATAAATTAAATTGAAAAAAATATAAATAAATAATTTAAAACAATATTTTTATCCATAGATTCTTTACGATTTTGCCAACCATGATTCTTAACCGTGCAAGCAATTCAATGTTGTGGTGATTAAGATTTTGTTCGTTGCCCTTATGTATGATATGGTAATGGATAAGTGAAAGAATAAGTTGAATGAGAATATGAATTTATGTAGACAGAGTAAGAAATGTCATAAAGTTTCATAAACTTACAAATTAAATTTTGGGAAATTTCTGGGATAGATAAAGATTTGTTTTAATCTTAAAGTAAGTGTCATTGGCCTTCTAACTGCAAATGCTCTAAATATCTCTTTTATTTTTTAGATAAGTGTTAAAACTCATCTAAACTGTCTTTTTTTGAGTTTTGTATCTAAATTATTAAGAGTGTGAGTTTCATACCTTAATTATCATTTACTAGTTTGAGAAACATCTCTCTATTTAATTTGAAAAATCTTGACACATGGCATTCATCAGGAATAAAATATTTCACCTTCACAAAAATTAAATAATAAACTATTAATATTAATTAAAAATTAAAAATTAAAGTATGACTAAAAAAAAGTTAAATATAAAATTTAAAATATATTTCTAACCCCACTCCAACCCCCCTCCCCCTCTCAAAAATAAAAACACCCACAGATTCTCCTAAAAAAATGATATTATTTTATTTTAAAATATAAAAATTCTACGTCATCCTATTTAACCATTCACTTCTAATTTATTTATTTTTCACGTTTTATGTTAAATATGTACATATATTTTTTTAAAAAAATTTCTAACTCATATACTAAATATAACGTAAATAAAATTTTATTTTTACAAAAACAAATAATTTTTTCCTGATATGCATATACATCTATCAGTAAAACGAGAAAAAAAATTGGATGCAAAAGGCTAGGTGAAGCGGGTTAAATAAATTTTTTTAATTAAAAAATAAAATAATATCTAACTTTAAAATTTGAGGGGCTAAAATAAAACAAAAATAAAAAAGAGAAACGTGTTTCTCAAACAAATTACTAAGGGCCCGTTTGGCCATAAATTTTCCAAATAATATTTGGGAAAAATTTGGCAAATAATGTTTGTCCATATAATTTGTCATTATTTGGCAAATATTTTTGGCAAATATCCTAAATTTCCAAATACTAGTTTTTTCTAGTATTTGGGCCAAATATCATTATTTGGGATATTTTAAAAATTAAAATTTTACCCCAATCTTTTATCTTTTACAAAAACACCCTTTCTAGTATTTGCTTGCATTGTATTACATCATTTTTTACGTGAACACCAAAATAGTGATGAAATATTTAGTGAATATTAAATAATGATATGATTGTTGATGAAAATTATTAAAAATTGGCTTTAGGTAACAAAGTCATATACTTTATCTACTCCACGATGTATGGAATAATTCTTATTGCACTCACTCCAAATTACCACATTGCTTCAGTGTCATGGACATTATTTGTTATTGTTGTAACTAACATTCAATTGACTTGTAATACAAACTTTTAGTTAGTTTGATAGTTTTTAAAACTTGTGTGTATAAATCATATTTTTCTAAAAAGGTGAAATATATTTCCCAAATTTTATGGCCAAACACATGGTGAAATTTCACCCAAATTTTCACTTAAATAATATTTGCCAAGAATATTTGAAAACGCTAACTAAGTTATAATTTAAAAAGTATAAAATTCACTTTTTCCATAGTTGGGTTTATGCGTGCTTTTGCCAAATTTAATTTTGAGAATATGGTAGAACGAGGATCTTCAAATTTCAGTCTCCTTAGGTAATCGTCTCTTTATCTGTATTCAAATTTACTTTACTCCTTGAAGAAATTAGCTTCATTTTCTTGATTTCCCCATGAATTTAACGCAGAAATCAATCAAATCTACTTGTTCAAATGTAGAATTACTTATTAATTTCAATAATCGACTGAATTTTTCATCATTGTCATCGTCAAATTGTCTCCAAATTCTAACAGATTACAATGGGTCTGCAAGACCCATTTCAAACCCTCTACATAACTTTCTACCTAAAACCCAAAACCCCCAAAACACAGTGAGTCTGATATGTTCAGCTTTAAAGAATGGAAACAATGACCATTTGTCCCTCCTTCAGAAAACCATCCGAGATAATGGGCTTATTTGTTACTTCAGTGACAGTGAAATCTCAAGGGTCCTGTTGAGATGCCAGTCTGATTCATTTAGTGCTCTTAGTTTCTTTAACTGGGTTAAGAATGATTTGGGTGTGGAGCCTAACACTCAAAACTACTGTCTTGTGATTCATATACTTACTTGGACAAGGAACTTTTCACAAGCAATGAAATTTTTGTCTGAATTGGTTGATTTGAAGAGAAATGGAATGGAGGATGTGGATGTGTTTGAAAGTTTGCTTTCATCTAGTGGTTTATGTAATTGGGACCCTGTTGTGTTTGATATGCTAATTAAGGCTTTTCTCAAGGTGAATATGGTGAAAGATGGATTTAGAGCGTTTAGAAAGACGGTGAAGCATGGTATGTACCCGAGTGTTATTTCTGTGAACTGTCTTTTGAATGGTCTTTCGAAGTTGAATTATAGCAAAAAATGTTGGGAAGTTTATGCTGAAATGGGAAGAATTGGAGTGCACCCGAATTCGTGTACCTTCAATATATTAACTCATGTATTGTGCAAAGATGAAGATGTGAACAAGGTCAATGACTTCTTGGTTAAAATGGAAGAAGAAGGGTTTCAACCTGATATAGTTACGTATAATACATTAGTTAGTAGCTATTGTAGGAAAGGAAGAATGAAAGATGCAGTTCACTTGTATCAAATTATGTACATTAGAGGCGTATCACCAGATTTGTTCACATATACTTCTTTGATAAATGGCTTTTGTAAAAAGGGAAATGTGAAGGATGCTCATCAGTTGTTTTTAAGGATGGCTGACCGAGGGTTAAAACCAGATATTATTGTGTATAACACTCTTATTTCTGGTTATTGCAAAGATGGGATGATGCAAGAGGCACGTTCTCTGTTGCATGACATGATTGGAGAAGGGATGTATCCTGATAAGTTCACTTGTTCAGTTCTTGTACAAGGATTTCAAAAACAGGATAATTTGGTTTCAGCTGTGAATTTAGTCACCGAGCTTCAAAGATTTAGATTTATAGTATCTCATGATATATACAATTATCTTATTACTGCACTTTGTATTGAGAATCGACCATTTGCAGCCAAAGCTCTAATTCATCGAGTTTCTGGCGACAGATATGAGCCTGGCAATATGGTGTACGGGGAGTTGATTGAATCTTTCTGCAGATGTAATTTCCCCGATGAGGCTTTATGCTTGAAAGCAGAGATGGTATCAAAAGATTTGAAGCCTGATATTGGTACATATAGAGCTATAATTAAATGTTTGTGTAAATTAGGCCGAAGCATGGATGCTAACTCCTTGATGAGAGAAATGACTGATTTTGATGTGTCACTTGATATTGAAGTCTGTAGAGCTTTAATAAATGGTCATTGCAGGGAGAACAATTTCTGTGAGGCTCAGTCGCTGTTAAGCTTCTTTGCTCAAGAATTTAAAATATTTGACACAGTTTGTTACAACACAATTGTCAGGCTTCTAAGTGGTGAAGCTGATATTGCAAAATTGATGAAATTTCAAGATAAAATGAGGAAAGTGGGTTTTGCGCCAAATCAGCTGACATGCAAGTACATTATTGATGGATTACAGAAAGCTGTCGGAGTTCACAAGATCAACAGCTGAGTGCAGTAATGAGGTATACATTTTACATTGGGTCTTCTCATCCGGTGAATCATTCTTAAACCAATTAAAAAAAATACTAATGCATGAAATCTTATCTTGTTATGTTGAGCCAAACTCCGGTTTTAAAAAATTGGAATCCTGCAGGGTGATAACTGATTGCAGTAATGTCTAGGAAGCATTTTGTTAAAGAAATAATCCCCCTTTCCTCTGAAAAATACTGCTTCACATTAGATGCATTTATTTGGAGAAATCTTGTGAAAAATAATTATGTTCTAGTTGCCTGTGGTTCCTTTGCCTTTACTTTTGTTTCAAGATTGTACAAGAACTCCAATGTAAAAAAAGTACCTTCATTTTCTGAAGCAATTACCCCTACTTAATTACTTCTATATTAGGGATAAATTCATAGACCTCTCCCCACGTTTGGCTTCTTCATGATAACCTCCCTTGTTGTTTATGATATTAAGCTTACTCTCCTGTTTTGATTTTTTTTGCAATAATTCTTTTAGTATATTTTATTATTCATGCAAAGATATGGTGGTCTGAATTAAATTTCCCTTCTAATATACTCTTTTGTTTTAATTAATTTTTTTCCTAGGAATTCATTTGCCTTCTTCATATCTGTTACTTCGAAAAAATATCAAAGTCCTATTCTAAAGTTGCTGAATTTGATTTCACGAAATAAATCTCCACGATCTTCGACTTCCTAAATCTATGTATTGCATTTACCTAAGCCAAAAAGTTGCCTCAAAGGCATTCCTCTTGCCACCACATCAATTTGCCCAAATCTCTCACCTTTACAAACCATTTCATTATGAATTGCAGAGTGCTCTACAATAGCCATTGCTTTCCAAAGTGAGAAGCCAAGTCAGCTTCTCATGTAGTTTTTGTTCCTGTGGTCCTGCTAATTTCCGGGACAACATGAGTTGCATCAAAGGATGAGGCTGTTATTCATTTACGTGTTGTGACAACTCATACAAACAATAGTTACTAAAAAAACGAACTACTATATAAACAAAATTTCCGCATTCCAAATAAAATGTATAAGTAGGCCTTTATATCGCAGTTTCTATTTCAAAGTCTTCATCATGACAACTTTACATATTCTGTAGTGTCAGTCCAGATGGTCATTTAGAGAACTCTCCGAATGTAATATCTTTTTCTTTGGGCAGTTCAGTCTTTGGTGGCAATGATTTTCTTCGTTAAGATGTCATTGCTGCAGTGGATCTCTAATGACTTTAGCTTCTTTACTGAAAGGTGCTTGGATTCACACATCTTGAGATTGGAAATGGAGGTTCTTGATCTTGACGTTTCAGAAATAGAGGATCAATCACTTCAGGGTACAGGATTGTGAAATATGAAGCTATACTACTTGGAGAGGGATTGACATTGGTTTCTGTTAGAGTTGAACGTAAGATCCTCAGTACTAGAGCCACAGATCAAGTTTGAATTATATGCTCACTGGTTCTTTGTGTATTGTATTCAGCTGTATTATGGTCCCTTCATGGCTGACCTAAATTTGGTAAGAAAAGTTCCGTTCTAAGTTCATCTCTACCTAATTTGCCTCACTGCCTTTTTACCTTCGTAGTTTCTGAATTTGAACAAATCTTTTGATAAACAAATGAAGGTTGAATCATCTGACTCTGTTATTGCTGTATTATGTTTAAGCTTGTTCATACAAGAAGCCTAACATCTATGTCAATATGGTTCATATAGACGAGGGAATTATTTCATAGAAGTCCTCTAATGTAATTTCAATCTAACTATCTAAAAGCACTCTTAGTGCCCGAGTATCTAGTCCAAACTTGTGAATTCCGTAAGACAGAATAATCTAAATTGTCTTTATTAGCTAGTGTTGTTTGGAACAGATAATGTACAAAGTTACTGTGATAAGTAGTATATCTGACATGTTGTCAGCATATGCTCAAATTTCAGGAATTGTAAGTGGATGGCTAAAGAAGGTGTCAATGCTCAAAGGTCTGATCCTGCTTCCATAGTATTGGAGGTCACCTGTATTTTCCAGTTAATTGTGAAGATTTCTGTTAATATCAAAAGCACCGGCCTTTGCTGCTATGTTTTGGTTTTAATACATGGGAGGAAACAATGAAAAGCTTCTTCAGATTTAAAGTTGGTTTTGACATGCAGATGCACATCTGGGTTGGTAGAACTTCCTTTAAGATTTTTCGTTGTCAAGGATCTCATTCAACCACTCTATCTTCACAAGGTAGGTTAAGGCTGCATAGACCCGACCTGTGGGATTACACCGGATATATTGTTGTAGGGATCTCATCTCATAACAAGACCTTGTACCCTGCTGTTCAAGAGTTTATACATTGTTGAAGCTGATGCATCTGTCTGCTTATATAAGATGCTTCTGTTATCCTTTCATATCTCTGCTCTTAACCTATCACAAATTTGCTTTCGCTTTGTCTATACTTTTTATATTCTTTATTACATTCTTTTATAGAATACTATGGAAGCAAAGAAACCTCAGGTGTCATGAGAATATTCCTAACACTATTCAGAAGGTTAAAGAAAATTGCATTAGCATGTTGTATTTTTGGTGTAAAGAAGATGGTATAGAAGAAGTAGAACAATTGGTAGATCTTCGGGATCTATGTAATTATGGAAATAGCTGGTAACTTTTTGGAGGCAGCCAACATACACATAATGCCGAAGAATACAACTTTATCTTTATCAAAATAATTAATAAAAAATCTATGAATGCAATATTAATTAGTTGGGACTGGCCTAGTTGTCTTTGTTAAACTTAGATTAGGCCTGGACATGGATAATTGTAAGACTTAGAGATCCACAAGCTTTATGAAACCCCAAATTTGTGTTAAAAGACAAAACATTAGAGTCTTCTAACTCTTGTTATTACTGATGTAAGGTTGAAACTGGTTCCTGATAAAGGTATATAGAGGATTCGTAGCCTACCCTATCTAGGTTGTGGTTGAAGCATAGTAGCTTGATTGATTTGCCTTCTTTCTCTTTTCAATCCAAGATACAATTTGATCCGTCTTCTGGTCTTTTTGCCTCATCCTTTTACTTGGTCTTCCTTATTTTCAGAAACTACTGTACCTCAAGAATTTACTCCAACTATGACTAACTTCAGGATATTTGAGATTTGGGCCTTATCACTGCTATTGCACTTCTTGTTAAAGGTTGATACTTTGTATGCTAACCCACTTAAAGGCATACTCTATTTCTACAGGCATCCATAGCTGCATCTGTGCTGTATAAACCACATTAGGGGTGTGTCATCAGGTTGTCATTTGTTTCTGTCAGCCATTCATGTTGATGGTCTTACCTGTTGATGGAAAATCTGCCAAAGCCCTTGGTCAACTGAGTTCTTAAATTGGGCTAGGGGGTTCAAGTGGAATAAGTGGATGACCCCTTAGCTCTCGCTTGAGTGAATGTAATCGTTTACTTTAATGACACAAGTGTTCTCAAGATACTTAAGTAGTAAGTTCTATCAGTTACTATTTGTCGAAGCCCATCTTACATAGACTTTTTTTGAAACTGGTAACATGACCCATCTTACATAAACTTTTCATTTGCTTTGATATATTATGTGTCAAACAGGTTTTACGTGTGTATTGGTACTTCATAAAGACCCTTCAAAATATACTAAAAGTTGAACTTATGCAACCAAATACTTACCTGGTACATACTTGTATTCAAGTTCAGCAACATAGGTTGAAGCGTAAGTTTTTTAATGTTTAGTCCCTAGTTTATGGAACAGGACAACAACAAATGCACTTCACAAAATGTATATCCTAACTTGTGGGCTGTATCAAGCAGTACAATAAACCTTAAAAGGTAGTCTCTTACAACTTTCAAGCATACTGACAATTTTTTTTATTATCTGAGCACAAGAAATATTACTCGGAAATTTTTAGAAGAAAAGGTGATAATTAAGTAATAACTTCACGAAAATATTTGTAACAGACTTTTGTATTCATCATTATGGGGTCTAACCTTCTGTTTACACTCATTTATGGGAGTGATAATAGTAGCTGCATCCTTGGAACATGGTTAAGTCCGAGACTCATTCATCAGATCAAGCTAGATCTCCTTATGTTAAAATCTATAAAATTCAAACAATTGACTTCCTGAACATGATTGTGGTCTTTGGCAGACTGTTCTTAAAGTTATGAGAATCTAAAAGTGTCTCAATTTTTAATCAAATCATACAAGCCTATTGCCTTTGATAAGTGTTTGGTCTGACAGTAGCAGAAGTTAGGCAGTAAAAGTTTGAGGATAATTGATAAGTCATTGGGTTTATCCATTCCAACAGAAAGAAGTTAGAATTAAACAGAAAATGAATGTTGACGGAATCAGTTTAAATAGTTGCATTTCTATGAAATTACTTTTGCTCGTCACATTTCTATGGAGTTGTTATTCCAAAGTATTCAGTGTTCAGCTGTTCATTTTGGGTTTTCAAGACAGGTAAATCGCTTCTGTTTCTTCTGAACGCGCATAGTAGTTAGTAGTTAGTACTACAACAGCTGTCGATGTTAGAGTGCTTAATAGTTCTGGAATTTGTTCAACAATCTAGTTTTATGAGAATTAGAGTCTTTTAATATTGTTTAGAGGGAGAAATATGACAAAAAATTGTCCCTCTATTTAGTAGGGTAATTTTGTTGAGGTTTGACTATCTTTGCTTTAGGGACCTGAAGTTAAAGACATTCCTGCTATATGGTGTGGGGCTAGAAATGGGAGCTCGGAATTACATAATTCCAACCACCTCAGTTGCTCACTAGTCACCATCACCTAAAGGCTGAAGGAAACCATCATTGGGATTATCTCTCTAGGTAACTAAAAGAGCAGCTTCCAGAAAAGAAATTAATCATATTCTTGAGAGTACAACTTTAGCCCAAGTAGGGGCTTGCACAATTTGCATTATTTTCTTTTTGTGCGTGAGTTAGCCCTTATATTAACTGCACGATGAACATCAATGGTTAAGGATACATTAAATAGAAAATGAGTATGGTTTGAGTTAGACGTAGCAACTGAATAGAGAGATGTATAAATTGTTTTCTTAATGCTTAAATTTGGAATTATATTTGTGCACATAAAGTGGTTGCTAGACCAATTATTTTGTATGGGGCAGAGTGTTGGTTGGTCAAGAACTCGCACGTTAGAAGATGAAAGTAGCGGAAATTAGGATGTTGAGATGGATAAGTGGACATACTAGGAGAGGTAGGATTAGGAATAAGATATCTGGGACAAGGTGAATTGTGGTGGAAAAGATGAGAGAGGCTAGATTGAGTTGGTTCGGGCATGTAAATAGGAGATGTCCCAGTGAGAAGATGAGATGTTGGCTATGGTGGGTCTTAGGAGAGGTAAAGATAGACCGAATAAGTATTTGAGAGAGGTGATTCGACAAGCCATGACACACATGTAGCTTATCAAGGACATGACCCAAGATAGGAGGATATGGAGGTCAAGAATTTGGGTGAAAGGTTAATAGGTAGTCGAGCTTGTCGAGTTCTCTTTATTTGTACTGTCCTATTACCTTTTTCTTCGATTTTAATTTTTACCTATTGTGTCTTCTGCTTCGTTTATCGTACTATTTGTAGTTGATGCTACTTTTCTGCATTATTTTCTATATAGTTTGTTCACTACTATACTTTCTTTTCTTTACTTTACTTTACTTGAGCCGAGGGTCTATCAAAGACCACCTCTCTATCTTCACAAGGTAAGGGTAAGGCTGCATACACATTACCCTCCCCAGATCCCATGGATACTTCAGCGTGTATGTTGTTGTAAATTGACATGATGTTTACTCCGTGCATTATAAGAGGAACTAGGACAAACCAAAGACAAGAAAAAATGCATTTAAGTGCTTCTTTAAGTTGTACATCAGATTTGTATGGTATCCTAAGAATTAGAGGAATTGAGGGCCCAAAAGGTTCTTGCTTTGAAAAGGGCTCTTAGTGCACTAAATTGAGATATAAGATTGGGACAAGTGCCAACTAGAGTGACAAAACAAATCTCTTTTGTATATATTTTGTTTTGTGTGTTTTAAATTCAAATTGATTTGTTTATTCTTTTTTGTTGATGAGATGAGGAAGGGGGCTTGAACCAGCAGGCATAAACACAGTCTTTCAACCGTTAGAGGGAAGAATGGGGACAAGACATCCTAATGGGACATGGAAATCTATACAGCAATCAAGGTAGTAGGTCCCTCTACTCCCTCACCCACCCACCCCCTTCTTACTATTGGGTATCACATTCCCCTAAAACTCCCGAAATTTCAGCTCCAAAAATATAATTATTTGCCTGCGTGGATTAATGTACATGCATTTTGGATTTGCTATAGCTGTGTGGTGATTGGTTATTGATTCAAAAAGAAGAAGAAAAAATGAATAAATTGGGAGTAATGTATAGCTCATACATTTCGTGGTGATCTTAAATGAGTTTGCAGATTGTGAAATGAATGAAGTTAGGAGGGCCCCGCATATTTACTGTCTTTGTTTTTAAAATTTGTCCTGCATTCTCATTTATGTTTGTGTGCAGGTTGCAGTATATGCCATCTAATGCATATCTCCATTTGCCCTTTAATAATATAACATTTCATTTCTCTATTGGACTACTAAGTTTTACTTCCACTTGGACATAAAATTTTTTTAAAAAGAGTAAAGGGTAGTAACCACTTATTTTCTTGTCGGCCGCCAACTTTTGAATTTTTTTTTAAAAAAGTATGAAAACTCAAATTTGGTGACATGCTTAATGTGTTAAGCTACGATTACTGACATTTAATTTTGACTACATCCCCCATTAAGTGTCTCGAGTTTGAGTTTTAGATGTCAAATTGGTCTATTTTAAGTGTAACAATCAATTAACTGAATTTCAAACTAATTGAGGTTGTTTAGATGAATCCTGTATATACATTGTGTTTTATTTGCATTTTTTTGATCTAAAAAATGTATTTTAAGATAAGTTAGATGTTCCTTAATATAACAATTATTATTAGAGTGAGATACAATCTCAACATGACTGAGAAGAATCCAAACGATAATTCCAATTAGTTGGTGTCGCCCATGTGGATCCTTTTACTTCTAATGCTATACTTCTTAGGTTGATTTGTGTTGATTTTGAAGGATTGGAAGTTGTAACACTTCTGAGACATTTTTTCTATGTGATTTTAGATTTACTTTTTTTTTTGATTGTCACTTATCATCATATCGTTAGAATCCTCATTTCGTACTTATGGACCGATTTAATTTTAGGTAGGTGTAGAAATGACAGATCATAACAGGCATTACATTTGTCTAATGCGGTCGTTATATTCCTTCGATATTGTATTTTCGTATATCCATCTCAATATGTGGATTTTACGACTCTTATCTTGTAGATGTGTTGGGCCTTAGAGGTTCAATATTGAATTCTGTATAGCATTATTGGTTTTACAACCGGTCTACTAAACGTTTCAAGTTTGATAGATATATTCATCTTATTGAATAACAATACCCCACAGTACTTCACCAGTTTTACAGTCTTATTTTGGTGTTTGTTAATTAAGTATTTCATCTATCATGCCATTCTACTGGAAGATTTAGCTTTTACATATATGAATTGGGTGCATTTTGGGCACCGGAATCCCTTTCGTTACATTTGTTCTGCTTATGAGGATTAAACTTGCAACGTGCATTTCTTGTTTTATTTCAGTTTAACCTAAAACCTTACTTCCAGTGCGCTTCCTCATAATTATCATGTTTGGTTTATTGCTTTGCTAATTCGCTAACTATCTTAATATCATATGCAATTAACATGCATCCTGTACCTCATCCAACAATATATACTTGTAGTTCGCCCCTCCAACTAGGGTAAAGCATGGATTCAAGGGACATCCCAGATGCAAACCCTTGGTGGTTGGAGATCTTAATTATATCTTTTTGTCCACTTGATCGTACATTTTAAATCAATGTATTTGGACAGATAGAATACACCTCTAAGTGAAATAGATAGAACCGAAGGAGCAAAGGAAGATTAGCACCATAAGATCTAGGTGAGCTATGAAAATTTAGAATTATGGAAACTGAAAAGATACTGGAAAATCGCGCAAGGGTCTTAACACAATTTGTCACAAACAATTAACATAAATATGTTAGGTTACAATATTAGGTGATGTATCATTTTTGTTGTCTGCTAAAGCAACTTGAGTGGTTTGCTGAAAAAAAGGGTACCAATTTTGTATGACAATGATATATATATATATATGTAATGATTCTATAGTGAATTCCAGTAAAATAATTATTTGGTTATTTGTTATTTCAGTGTTTGTTGTGGCAACTGGCAAGTACCTTGTTGCTTCTTCATTCTTGTTGTTGGTCTAATGAAGGGTGCATGCATGCAGACAAGTATACTGCGTACACAGTGAAAGAGAGAGCTGGAAAGGGTTGGTGAGGATAGTAAATGTGAAAGGTGATTTCTGATTCTAGAAAATACGAATTGGTAACACCGAAAATTGAGAGGCCTGGTAAATATTGTCCTCTCTCCTTTGAAATGCGTTGTCAGGAGTGAAAACCATGCTTACCAGCATCTCTTTTGTGTTTTGGCTATGTGGAACTCTTGTTCTAAGCTAGAGTGTCATCTCTGCCAGAGCGATATGTACTCGAAATTATACTGTGTAGCTAGGTAAAAATTTACTTTATACATGTATATATATATATGGACACTCCTCTGCTTCTACATCATTTGCTTCTTTATATTTTGACACTCCTTAGTCGTAAGAACTTTGTTAAATTCCTTGTGTAACAGTCAAATCTTTTCTACCGTTGAACTTACAGTCCCATCTCTTTATTGTTTGTAGTAGTTATTTGATTTTACTGCCAGTGAAGTAAAGTGTCGTTCTCTTGTTCCGCATTTTGTCATAAAACGCACTCCCATGCGTTCTTCATCCATCAGTGCATTTACTGCTCCGCCTTTCAAACTTCGCAAGTACTGATTAAATTCGAATTGTGCATTGCAGGATTCATATTCGGGGGTTTCGAAATCGAGACATACTTCTGATTAAGGATGAAATAGTCTCGTCATTTCATTGTCTACGGTGAAACATAAAAGTTTCAACTTGGTATTAATTTTTTTTTTGATAAAAAAGGGCACGGAAATGCCGTGTGTGGGCATTGAAAGCTAAATTTAAGCAATGTCTGAAGAGACAAGTTGCAGATCTTTCTTTGTTGGGGCCCTATCACACTATGCTTCTCTCATCTTCTTTCCATCTCCAACATTAAATTTACTTCCTACCTTATTTACAATACAAAATTTGTCGCTTTGCATTTAAAACTCACAAAAACTCCTCTTTATCTAGGGGCGGATCTAGAGTGTGTTGACTTACTATTACTATCACATGAATTGTAATTTGTTTTAAAAATTCATTAGTAATGAATTACCTTCTTTATCTCGTACCCATATAATATTTCACAAGTTATGAACGCTGTCTAGCGTCGTAAAATAACTTAATGTTCCTCACACCTCCATTAGTTTTGGGAAGGGAGGAAAAAAACCTATTTGAAGGGAAACTGTGCAATTAAATAAATTAGTTTGGCACAAACTTGTATTTTATAACTCATAAGCTTCTGGTTTTATCTCTCCATCAACTTAGCGTTATCAAAGGCGAAAAACTCTAAGGTCTGTGTGACTTTAAGCGTAAATAAAGTGGGTTTTAATGAAAAAAGTCGCAAAGGGAGAGAATAAAATAGAAATATATATGTTTAGTCCAAAATTAATACGTATAACATGAATGATGAATATATGATCAATTTTTTTTTATAAAAAGAAAAATATGATTTGAAATTTTCTTCAATTTTTTAGTGTCGCTTATTAACGAGAGGTTCATTGACAAGAAAAAGTTACGTTTGAGGTTCTTTTACAAAATTAAAAATAATACTAGTATGTATACAACGTTATTGAGTCACTGAAGTTAATTTAACGAGAGAATAACAAATTTAAAATGAGAGAGGACATTATTCAGTACTATGATAGAAGTTTTTAAAGTTTAAATTTCAAAATGTTTTCGACTTTGAATTTTTGAATCTTGGGAATGATTTTTTTTTAAAGATTACATTTTGACAAGTGCCTATCGACATTCTGTGCTAAGGAATTACAAGTGGATGGTGTTATTGCGGGGCAAATCGTATAAATTTATGAAAATTTTAACTTATAATGCATAATATAAAATTTCGTTTTTAATCTGTTTCACGTAAAAAAAAATAGTTTCAAATGAATTTTGATGGTAAAATATGAGAAATCATAAATTTATTTTCATTGTCTCTCTCACTAGGTATTAATTAATTTATTTTGTTATTGAAACTTCTTATTTTAAAAATCTATTTTTTACGTTTTGCTTCTTTTTTTTTCCTTGCTACTTTACTAGTAAGAATGCGTAAAGTAGTGCCAAACTTGGCATTACTTGAAATCATTTACTATTATGATTTAAAAAATGCTCTGATAAATTCTATAAGCATTTATATTAAAAAGTTTACGTTAGAAATATGTATTATCATATTATGTATAGTTAGGAGCGGAGCTAGATGGAGTTCAGATAAACACATTAGTTTTTTTTATAGACACAATATATATATATATATATATATTAACTTGTGAATTTCTTAACAAAACTGATTGATAGCTCTATGATTATGATTAATTAATGTTAGCTTTAAGATGCCTTTGTATGAGTAATTTTGTGTCATCGATCATATTCCACAAGTTATATCTCCATTTCTAGTGAACTTACGTTTCTTCCATATAAGTTTGACTCAACGCATTTGAAGGGCAAATATGTAATTTTCCGAGTTAATTCCTAAAGATGATAGACCGTATATTGGCTTAAATGTACGTACATATCTAACACAAAATGAAAAAATGTAAAAAATTAAAATAAAAAGTCTTTTCTATTTATCATATGGATAGTAATATTTAATTTTTAGTTAATATTAACAGTTTATTATTTAATTTTTGTCAAATATAGATTTTCTTTAAAATATGAGCAAAAAATGTTTAATAGAATTACTTTTTCATATGCTTTACTGAAATATGTGATAATTCAAGTGTCTCAACTTGCGTTTGGACACGCAATATGGAATAATTATTTTAAATTAATATTTATGCGATATAAAATTTAAAATTTTGATTTCAAATCAACATTTGAATAAATGATTAGGGAGCAAATCTTAAATTCTTCCAAAAAAAAAATAAAAATATAGTTTGAAATTTCAAATCATGGTTGCAAAATGTAAACTCGATCCAGAAGTTTATATATACTGTATAGAAAAATTTCAATAAAATTTGCCAAAATGGCTCATGCTTTGCATCACAAATAATTATTTATAAAAGAAACATCGAATATGTTATAATTTTATTTAATATGTCATCTCATGATATTTCAATATCTTGTTTATGAATTATGATTTGTTTATTTCTTAAAATTACGTAAGAATTGAAAAAATTTGGAAACTTTTCACAAAGTACTGAATTTTCATATTTATAAAAAATTACAATTTAAAAAATCCATATTACATATCTAAATGCATCATTTACTTTTAGAACACATAGTCAAACGGGTCA